ATACGTTGATCGTAATCTATACAGACTGGTTTGGAAAAAGGCTAATGAAGGTTTGTGTGTTGTACAAAGTTGGCTAGTATGTTTTTAAAATCAGATCCCCTTCCAAATCTATAGGATGTGAAAAAAGTATTTAATGACTATGTATCGATATAAGCCAGGTAATATTGTTTCACTGGAGAAAGAACTTTATTTTCTAATTATGCAGCACTAACTTCAGAAGGAAAAATATAAATGTGCATTTCACCATGTATGTGAGAATATTTTGCGTCCATCTGTATGTCTTTCCATTTTTATATAAAGAATGAAGAACACTTGTACATCCATCTGTATGTGTATGAAAAAAATATTCATAAGAATGTATAAAAGAGAGTACTTAACTTTGTACAAGAAAGTGAAAGAACATGCATAATATCACTTTGGGCCATCTGCACTGCATTTACTGTACTTTAAATTAAAATGCTTCCAAAATTCTCACTGAATTCTAAAGTTCTGAAATATTTTCATCTGGTTTCTAAAATAGACCAGATATGTGATTTGTTTATTCCTTCTGATCACTTTTGGGAAGTTCTGTATATTAGCAAGAGGTGACATTTTTAATATTATAGAATTGTAGGCTGCCCAGAGTCATCTATTTGAGATTATAAAATAAAATAAAATAATCTTCACCTTAGTTCAGTGTCCTCTTTTGAACATCAGAGATATTGGAAGTGCACAAACATATATTGGTACAACAACAAAAGATAGATATGATATGATTGGCAGTATTATATTCTCTAGGTTTGGTGAGGCCATTCTCCAAAAGCAATAGTTCTAATAATAATCTCTACTTTTCAGGAAAGTAGAATGTGTAACCCTGTTGTTTCATATGTGTTTGATTCTTGTTTTATTTCAAGGCTCTGGGATACAGCCACTCTTGACATGAATATGCATAGCTTTTGCAAAATTGCTAAAAACATGTTATTAGCAAATATCAATCCAGTTGAGGCTCTCAAGGAGAATGGCATAAAAACCTGCATTTGATATCAACCGCATTTGGTATGATTCATACAATCCTGATTCATACAACATGCTAGACTAGGTGAAAATAATAGGGTTCGATAGTTTGCAGTTCAACATGTTATGGGAGACAGTCCTTTATCTTAACAAGGCCATTAAGTTAAGCTACAGGAGGACAACCTATGTGATATGCATAGTCTCCCAACATTTGAGTTGCATCTCCCTAATGCCCGAGATCAGGTTGCTGAAATTGTCTAGCAACATATCTGAATCTGACTGATGAATATTTTTGTCCTTTAAGGGAGGATAACGATGGGAATGGGAATAGGATTTTTTTTTTCTGGGAGGCTTCCTGTTTCTGTCTTCATTCTTAGTCACTTGCTAAATCCAAAAAAAAATCAGGCTAAAAGGGATGACCTCCTTTGACCCTTGAAAATCAGGAGACTAAGTTGTAGCATGTGGCCTTGTGAATGTTGTCCACTCTTGAATTAAGTCACCATCTAGACTTTCCTTAGGCATAGCTCTGTAAACGTCCCAGTTGGGTGTAGTTAGCTTTAGAATTTTAATGTGAAATAGACCCAGCCCATGAAATAATTTTTCTTTTGGGTGCTTTATCACTAGAGGTTTTTAAGAAGAGATGGGATTGCCGTTTGCCCAGAAACAAATATTGGGTTTCCTGCTTGAGTAGAGGGTTGGACTAGACCTCTAAGGTTCCTTCCAACTCTGTTATTCTGATGGGGTGGGACAAACTCATTCATATCTCTCTAATGAAAAAGTAATACCTTGGTATAGATTCGTTGTAAGAAAACAGAATATGGTAGTTACCTAACCATGAATTGCTTATGGGAATCCATTATGGGAATTAAATTTGGTTTATCACAACCCAAAGAGAGATCTAAAGGTTCAGAAAGAATAAACCCATTTTAAACCCCAAAATGTATAGACTGATAGCTTTAAAAATATGAATCACTGGATGAAGTTAACTTGATATTTTTAATTTATTGTGTTTTCTATATATCATGCTCCTTTGTCTTGGCTGCTTTATATGATTACTTATAATTCAGCAATATTTGAAAACAGACGATTGGTTTTAATGATAGAAATTAACTCCGTGTTTGAGTGTCAGTGCAAAATGAACCCCACGTTTGAGTGTGAATGGCAAGAAATCCTAGGATGAGAGTTTTAGTTACATTTTGTTTTTGGTTGCTCTTGGTTTAAATGGAAGATTCTAAAACAGGGTATGAAAATATATGTACATATACATGTATACAGTATATATATATTTCTCCTCATGTATATTTTTAATTAGAACCCCCACTTAGTGTTCCTGCTGGGGTTATAAAGTCACTGAATAAAATAAGCACATAAGGAATTTGGGGGTGGGTGGGGGAAAAAGTGAGAACAATGTATAAATAGAAACTTCCTGCTTCAACAATTTAGATATTTCCTCCTGATATTTTGTTCTGTGAAAATTTTGGATAAGTACAGTTCTAGGGACATGAAGAGATCTTGCAGTGTATTATAATGCTTTCTCCTAGTGCTTAGTAAGATCATACTGTATTTCTCCAGGAGAGATCTAAAGGGTTCGGTGAAATTGCCTTCTCTGAGAAATCTGCAGTAAAACTTGCTGGTTTATTCTAGAATTAAATCTAGAAGCCAGATTTCATAACAATCCTTTTTCCCCCCTTCTAATTTCTAAATCAGTGGTTCTCAACCTGTGGGTCGGCACCCCATTTGGGGTCGAATGACCATTTCACGGGGGTCGCCAAACCATGCTGTCCGCCATTTTTTTCCATTTTCCCTAGCTGTCCTACTCCCTCTTATTGGTGGCCACACCCACATGGGGAACTGTATTATGGGGTCATGGCATTAGAAAGGTTGAGAACCACTGTTTTAAATGCTATCTTCAGAGGATCTCTAACTGCAAAGGTGTGCTTTGTTCAGTGTATTTTAAGATTGCAATTTATAAAGTTCCCAAAAGTCTTTTTAAAATTGAATTTAGCTGTGGGGTTTCCATGGAGTGAGCAAGCAGTCGGATTCAATTTTAGAAGTAAACCATTCCTTGTTCACAAATTTGCTAAGAGAATATACTATCAGCTAGTGTAGTTTCCTTTCTTATGCCTACATTTTCCCTCCACTTTTCGAGGGACACTGGCAGAAAAGATCTATAATTTAGTCTGAGCATCTTACTGAAAAGAAAAAAAACCCTAAACATATTTAATATCTTCTATTTGACTTATGACACAGAAAGGAATATGTAGTGTAGTGGGGTGCCCCAGGGCTCTGTTCTGGGCCAAGTGCTCTTCAACATCTTCATCAATGATTTGGATGAAGGGATAGATGGGGAACTCATCAAATTTGCAGATGACACTAAGCTGGCAGGAATAGCCAACACTCCAAAAGATAGACTTAAGATACAGAAGGATCTTGACAGATTTGAACATTGGGTGCTATCTAACAAAATGAAATTCAATGGTGAAAAAAGTAAGGTTTTACATTTAGGTAAGAAAACCAAATGCACAGGTATAGGATAGGTAGTACCTTGCTCAATAGTAGCAACTGTGAGAGGGATCTTGGAGTCCTAGTGGACAATCACTTAAATATGAGCCAGCAGTGTGCTGCAGCTGCCAAAAAAGCCAACACAGTGCTAGACTGCATTAACAGAGGGATAGAATCAAGATCACGTGAAGTGTTAATACCACTTTACAATGCCTTGGGATATTGCATCCAGTTTTGGTCACCACAATGTAAAAAAGATGTTGAGACTCTAGAAAGATTACAGAGAAGAGCAACAAAGATGATCAGGAGACTGGAGGCTAAAACATATAAGGAATGGTTGCTGGAATTGGGTATGTCTAGTTTAATGAAGAGAAGGATGAGGGGGGACATGATAGCAGTGTTCCAATATCTCGGGCTGCCATAAAGAAGAAGGAGTCAAGCTATTCTCCAAAACACCTGAAGGCAGGACAAGAAGCAACGGATGGAAACTAACCAAAGAGAGAAGTAACCTAGAACTAAGGAGAAACTTCCTGACAGTTAGAACAATTAACCAGTGGAATAACTTGCCTCCAGAAGCTGAGAATGCTCCAACACTGGAAGTTTTTAAGAAGAGACTGGACAGCCATTTGTCTGAAATGGTATAGGGTTTCGTACCTGAGCAGGGGGTTGGACTAGATCAGTGTGGCGAACCTATGACACGGGTGCCAGAGCTGGCACTCAGAGCCCTCTCTGTGGGCACGTGCGCCGTCGCCCCAGTCCTAGGTCTTCAACTTTATAAAACCTTTTTGCTTTAGTCCGCCGCCGCCGTGTGCAAAAAAAAAAAAAAGGTTCAATCAGTCAATTTCAACTCGTGGGGAAAAAAAAAGATCTTGCAAAGTTGGAATTGATTGAACTTTTTTGTCCCACCCAGTCTGCCATTATCACTGCAGCCACGCCCACCCAATGGGCTACACCCACCCGATTGGCCACACCCAGCCAATGGGACACACCCACCTGGCACGCGATGATGCATAAGTGGATTTTGGGTTGCAGTTTGGGCACTCAGTCTCTAAAAGGTTCGCATCACTGGACTAGATGACTCCAAGGTCCCTTCCAACTTTATTATTATTATTATTTAATTGGGACTTGCTCTGGATTTTATTTTCTCCACTTCTCTGATTTTTCTTCTGTTTTATTTTCAATATGTTATGAAATGCAAACTGCAACACTAACAATTGTGCAAATGCAGAGAAATGAGAAAAATGCTCTTTAAAAATAAATTCTCCAATATCGGGGAATATGGGATGTTTTTCAAAATGGAGGTGTATAGTACTTTTTATGACCCATCTCAAACTGACAACTCTTCCTATCCCAACACATATCAGATTTTATCTTTGCTATTGATATGGGGTTTGGAAAATAAGCAGAGACTTGGTTTCTTCACTTTTTCTGCCAATTGTACCAATCTGTGATAAAAAAATATGATATTTTCTTCTTTATCTTCCTCTCAATCTTTTCTACCTTAGGTGTTTTCAAGATCCCCTCAAATTATGCAGGCACAACGTAAACCTTCAAGGTAAACCTCAAGAGTTGACGAGATTTTTGTATGAAGTATCTTAGCTATGGAGCTCCAGCCACTGATTTATTTTTAATTAGGAATATAATCCATTAATGTTTCAACCTTGTTGTAAATTGATTTAAAAAACAAAGGAGAGCTAAACCAGATCAGACTATGAGGCAGCACCCTCTTCCCTCAATGGTCAACCACATTATAGCACCAGCAGCTCTAATTCCAGCAACTACTATTCTGTACCATTCACTACTTTCAACCCTGGAGGAATATGATGTCTGGTACAACCTGAAAGTTTTGTCCTCTATGAATTTTATACTTACACAGAACCATTAGTATAGACCTGTCTTTCTCAATCTCAGCAACTTTTAAGATGTGTGGACTTTACCTCCCACAATTGCTTAATGAAGAATTCTGGCTGGGAAATCTTGGAAGTTCAAATCCACACATCTTAGACTTGCTGAGATTGAGAAACACGGGTTTTCATGTTTATTCTAGTTCATGGAGGGTCTCTAATTCATCAACATTTGTCTTGCAATAGTTTTATAAGAGAAGACTCTTTGTTATGTTTATTGAACACTTGGTTCTTTGCTACCCATTTGTACAAATGGCTTAATTTGTAGATTTGTATTCTGATTTACCATCAGGAATTCAAGGCAATATACTTTGCATACCCTGATTTTCCCTTGTCCCCTTGTCTTTCATTCTATGATGCCATAGGACTTCTTGAAATGATTATCTGTTGGTGTATTTTCCCTTCTGCAGTGGTCTCTAGGAATCCCTTGGTTTCATATGCTGTTTAATACCAGCCATACTTCCTTATGGAAAAATAATCTACATTTGCCAGCATGCCAATTAAAAAAGGAAGCTACAAATATCATCTGGGAGAAAAGTGTAATTTTGAAAGGAGTATCCTGTTTCCCCAATTCAGATTCCAAAACATATGTACAAGGAAATTTAATTAAAACTTCTCCTAGAAAACCCCCCGATGAGAACAGAATTTGAGAACCCAACTTGTTAACACTCCAAGAACACACTTCAGAATTGACAACACAAGTAAAGTGAAAAAGTGCTTGCTGATGAGTACACAGGCAGATCCTTCACAATTTACATCTTATATCTCAACTGTCGATTATTCAGTTGTTTTTCTTTGGCCTAGGAACTTGAGCCTAAACCAGGCCATGGAAGACACTTGTGAACTAGATCTGGTATATGTCACAGAACGGATAATTGCTGTCAACTTTGCAAGTTTGTCGGAAGAACAAACCTTCTGCAGCAACCTGAAGGAGGTGGCTCAAATGCTTAAATCCAAGCATGGGGACAATTATTTGGTAAGCACTTTGGAAGGCTGTGACTCAATTTCAGAACTTGCTTTGAAAAACTTTCCAGGAAGTGAATGTTTTCTGGAATTCTGTCTTGGTGGTTCACTTCAAAAACAGTTGTAATATCTTATGGATACTGATCTGATTTTTTTCCAGATCCTACTTTTTCTCTAATTATCCTTATAGCATGAATTGTTACTTTGTGATATTCACCTTTATTATCAATTCTGAAGACTATTTTATTATGAGGTAATAATAGGAGCAAGATCTTCAACAGGAGCAAGATCCTCAAAACCAAACAAAAACATTATCTCTCACAGTTCCAGTTCAGTTTTTAGTTCAGTGAGCTGCATGGTGATGTCAATAAAGCTTAAAAACTCATATTTGAAGTTCTTGAAAATTCGGAAAGAGAAAACTTGTATATGTGTGTAGGTATTTCACTGATCTGAAACTATGTATTTTTGGCTTCTAGGTGTTTTTCCACCATTTTGTACCAAGCTCAAGATATACCAAACAAACAGAATCTTCTAATATTATATATTTCTTTTCTCTCTTTTAGCTTCTTAATCTATCAGAGAGGAGGCACGACATCAGCAAGCTACATTGCAAGGTATGATGGACTGTTACTTAAGCAAAAAACATTTCCAGGAGAGTGGTTGGATGAGAGAGAGAAAATTGGGCCAGGACAAAAAATCATTTATAACTTTTTACAGATACAAATTAGTTATTGAATACATTACATATACTAGCCTATGGATTTATTACCCTATCATAGCTCTTGATTTCTTCCCACTCACAGTATCAACATCTTTCAGCCTTAGTAATTAGTAAATAAAGGATAACTTTATTCCTTCATTGAATAATGAAATATATCCCGTAAACAGGCATTGTATTCCCTGAAATTTGAGGTCATCAGAACCTTGAGGTGCACCTGTGGACATCCATAACCAGAAATATGCCTGCAGGACCTCATGACAAAATTACTTAATGTGATATTAACCAACATTTTTCAAGAAGTTGGCAGTCTTTATCTGAAATTCCATGAAACTGCAAGGGATCAAAATGCCACATTATAGCAGACCTGCTAGAGGTTGTACATTTTAATGTGATCTTTCTTCTCCATTAGTGATGACACTGTGAAAATGAATGTCTGTATGTTCTGTAATTCAGGAAAAAATAAGCTTTTGGAGTCTGGGTTCCAAAATCCCAAACTGTTTCTCAGAATGGAGAAATCAATGTTTGCTAGGAAACTAATATGTCTGATTCCAGTTGCTATTTTGAATAATAAAATACGTTAAGTGGTTTCAATTGCCTAGGAAGGCTTAGGTAGATTTATGTACATTGATTTTGCAAATTTTCCTGCATGCATCTTTTTGACAGCTAGACAGTATACAGTAGTATCTGCAAAAGAAGAGCTATCATTTTTTCCAGACCCTGAAATGAAGAAACAGGCTCCTCTGTTTATATATGATTAATTGGACTACATTCTAAAAAGTTCATGTTAACTATGAAGCTATGTTCAGTTTCATTTACTGTAAACCTACAGTCTTTTAAGATCATAGCCTAGGCAGCCACTCCACTTCTCTTCAGCTACTTTTTGCCTCCAAATTGGGTAGTCATGGAGTGCTGCCTCCTCTAGGTACATCCCACTCTTTTTTGGCCATTAATTACATTGTGTAGCCACTGTCTTTGTCATCCAAAGAGGTTGTTCCTTAAGCTACAGCCAGCGCTTGCCCCTGCTCTAAATTTTGGAAATGGTCCTAGCATTGTAATCTAGGCTTGCCACTATATTTATCAGGTGACTATGGCAGGAGGTTATTCAGGCTGAATTAGCAGGCTGGAGGAACAGAAGAGGAAGGAAAAGTGAACTTCTGTGACTGAGAGGCAGAAAGAGGAATAGGTTTTAAAAAGGCAAACCTTTTACTGGAGGGGAATGCAGCAATAATAAATGGGAAAATGCGATGGATTATATATTGGATTTCATGGTATTTATTTTGTTGATTACTCTGCTTTTGTACAACACTCTTCGAGTAAGAAATTTAATTATTTATTTTAAAAATCCTCATTTTTCAATTTAAAAAACCCCCAAAGCTTATAGGATAGTAATTTGCTAAAATCTTCAGAGCTGTCATGATAGAAGTATTCACATTCATAGTCATTCAACACTTATCTCCCCCTCTAGAGCTAATTCTGTTATTTGTTGATGAAGGTTGACAACATTCGTAGTCTTCCTATTTTATAAGGCAACATTTGTCAAATATTTTGCAATTGCAAACCACCAAATAAACTCTTGGAAACTACGGTAAACAGATAACTAAATTATACAAATCCCTCTCCCTACATCTTTGTCTTTAAGAGTCTGGGAATTCATATTTTCAGAAAGTAAGATAATAATTACACTTGTATTTGGATATGCTTCTCAATCTCCTCCATTTTTATAGGTCTTTCTAAACTGAATGTTGGACCAGAAAATCTAATTCTAAAAGAAGTATTTAAATAAGAATCTTCTTTATCACTTGAATTATTTTATGTACCCATCCTATACTAACATTTCCTCCAATGTTTATGTTATATTTACATTTAAAAGTTTCTTCCCCCTCCCCCCGGGCATGACCATAGGGATTTTAACCCATTGCTTGCTTTTAATAAGCTATTCAGAGTCATTGCAGAGTGTACAGTCTTAGATATTGTAATTATTTATACATAAAATAATAAATTAACCAACTAGCTAGCTTACTTGCTGATCAATATATTATTCAGTACAAATCTCTTGAATTGTAAGGGGCTAAGCAAGTAGTTTTCCAGCTGAATGAAATCTTGTGCTTACTTATTCATTGCTACATTTCCTATTCACAATTTTTCTTTGGGGATGCTTGTGTGTGAACGTATTACACGTATCAGCATGTATGAACTCATAATTAGCAACTGTACTTCTATGCATTTTCAGAATTTTAAGTGTCATGTTGCTACTTGTATTATCCCTTATATGCTTTAATTTATTCAGTTTCCTACCATGGATTGGTTTCTACAAATCAGTTGATTTCATGGGGATAGCCAAGAAACGGGGGCTGAAGGGACAGACTTCAGATGCAGGGAGGATGCAGTTGGCCACTGGTAGATGATTGTGGAACACAATTTGAGAATTTCTGAAGGAAGTTCTGAAAGAATATTATGCAGTTTGCCTGGGGTTCCCAATCTCAGTATTTTCTGAATTAAAGCTTTCCTTGAAGAACTGGGGACAACTTTTGCCCATGCCAATTTTTGTGTATGATAGCTATTATTATATAAAAAAAGAGAATTAGTTATTTTTATTGATACTTTATTGGACCATAGAACCACCATTGGGGGATTGCTTGAAAATAGTAATGTAAAGATATCCCTTCCTAAGCATAACTCAATTGAAACATCATCATCATCATCATCATCATCATCATCAACATCATCATCATCATCACTCATTTGAAGTCATACTTAAAATATTCTAAGATTAGTGGTTGCTTTTCTGAGAAGGAAGTTACATTTTTACTCAGAGGAACTAATGCTGATTCTCCCTTGCTTCTTCCACTTTTCGATCAACTGATAGAAAAGAATGTGCTCCTTTGACAAAATACTGTTTTAAAGAAGTTACTAGACGAATATGGAGTCTTGGTTTTGACTTGAGACTTCCCCTGGTGATTAAACAAGATTGTTACTAAGGACTCACTATTGGGCAGAATCTTAAGATGTCACTGCTCTTTCCATGCACAGGAATTTTCCATTTTGAGGAAGTTACTGTCTTGAAAATTGCGAAGCTGTGAAAACACCCAGAAGGAAACTAAGAGTTCCAGTTTGTTTATAGCTAATTAACTCTGATCAGTTTCACTCCTGCTCCCCCTTGTTTAATATTGCTGGATGTGTGGAAGAAGAAGGAAAGGAAGAGAAAAGAAAGAGGTCTGCAAGCAATCAAGATTGCCTGGATCATTCTCAAATGTGTTTCTATAATGGAATGTGAAAATGACCTTGGAAGACTTGGGACGGGAGGAAGAGATGCTGCCTAGAGAATGATCAGATAAAAGGGGGGAAAGCCAGCAACTGAGTAACTGGGCAGAGAGAGAAACTTAGACAGGATCCACCCTAACTTATCAGGTCATAAAAAGAGACAGAGGGGGATTTGTATTTTCAGATTTGCAAGATTCTGTTAATGTAATCCTGCAATAAAATAGAATTAGTTCATCTGATCATGTTTCTTGCCTGGTATACTTAGGAGGTTGATATTAATCTTGCAAGTTTGAAAGTACAAATCTCCCACCATCTTTTTTTTTTTTTACTACCTGTTAAATTAGGGAGGATCCTTTCTTAGACTTTCTCTGAGACTCAGTTGTGAGCTCCTCTCTCTCTTTTCTGATTGTTTCACAGGTAGCATCTTTCCCTTCCTCCCATCTTTCAAGGTCATTCTCACATTCCATTATAATTTCAAACCATGATCAAAAGGATTGGGAAGCAAAAAAAGCTTGGCCATCTCAAAAGTACTGTAAATATAGGGCTGGTGGCAATTAAAGTCTCTTTGTGACATTATGGCAGTGAATAAAGTGAAGCAAACATACCAATAAACCATGGGTGACTTGACATTTATTATTAACTGACCTAAAATGTAATGATGTGCCAACTGAAATATAATTATCCTTCTTTTTTTAGCACTTCTCCAAAATTTGTGATGGAATTGTCCAGTCCAAATATTCTATCAAAATACCCATGTTAAGGGAAATGCCATGCAAATATGTAATATGTACAGAAACACATTTTAATTTTCATATGAATTCTGCCATCACAATTTGATGAAAGAAATGAGACCAAAAACACACTGAAATATTCAAAAACAATTAAAAGTGAGCCAGTGAAATCCATCTATCCATCTCCAATTATAGCTTCACATTCTCTGCATGCCGAACATCTTTGTGGCATGCAACTCTCTGTTCTTGCATAGGATCTATTTGCAGGGATGCTCCCAGCAAGGATTAAGTGTAGAGAAATTGAGAAAGTGCCAGGGAATTAGGCAAGGCTCCAGTTTTTTTAAATGGTGCGTATAATTTGAAATGAAAGCAATTCCCAGGAAGAGTTCTTTTTTTCTAGGAAAAAGATCCTCATTTCATATTATCCACCTAGATTATATGCATTATTATTATTTTCTTTTTTAAACTTTTTTTGGGTGGGACAACTAATTTCTAAGATAAGGTTGATGTCAGTTTTGATCCAGCTTGATTTACTAGGGATGGTGCTGCATCTTAATTTTTATTCCTGATTAAGAACGTGCCCCACCAATTTCTAGCAAGGATTCCTAACAAGAATTTGCAGGTTGTTAATGTTTGTCATCACATAACTTGGCTTGCCTTCTTTTGGCAACACAGGCAAGAAATGATTTGCAGTAGTATCTTGAATGACTGAAATAGAAAATCCAAAAGAAGCCTTTGTCAGCAATCATAAATAATAATAAAGAAATGGAATATGGCTGTCTTAAAATGAGAACTCTAGATGCATTTGCCTAATGGTAGAACCAATCCTCCCTTTTTGTGTTCTGGAACAACTTGTGAAACTGTCTGATAGCCAAAAGAACTTAAGATAGAAATCCTAATCTTTTATAACAGCTTCATGACTTTCTTCTCCTACTTGGAACCCCTCTTTCTCCTTGTACCACAGGTGCTGGATTTTGGGTGGCCTGACTTGCATACCCCTGCGCTGGAGAAGATATGCAGCATCTGCAAGGCCATGGACACGTGGCTCAATGCTGACCCACACAACGTGGTAGTGCTGCATAATAAGGTGAGAGGAAAGAAAAAGATTTCCCTGGATGATGGTTGTAGCGAGAACTGTGAGGTTTTGCCTCTGCTTAGGTGCAAAGATCATTTAACACAGCAGTCCCCAAACTTACCAACTTCTTGGACTGGCAACGGTGGAGGTGGTGGTGGTGGTGGGGACAGGGGATGGCTTCAAAACGTGCACCCGCTGCTAGTGCAAATGGAGTTTTGCGCACTCGCGCACTTGTGCACTTGCCCACTGCTTGTGCAGACCAGTTCCCAATGGGCCACAGACTGGTACCAGGCCACGGACTGGGGGTTGGGAAACCCTGATTTAGCAAACAGTTGAATAGTGGCAAATGGAACCTCCAAATAGTTTTCATTTTGATTTTGTAAAGCAAATACGTGACTAGTGCATATGATCTCAAGGCCAGCTTTGTTTATAGCTAGGCCACCCTCGTTCTCCTGCCTACAACTATTTTGCTTGTGGCTAAAGAACCGCCTTCTGAATTGCTATCCATGAACAGAAAGTGTATTCTTATTTTTTGCAATGTTCTATTTGCTACATGCTTGCCATTGCCACGCTTGTAGCAATTTGCTATGAACAATTGTATATTTCTCCCCTCCTCATCCCCGATGACTGTAAAGCAGTTTCTGCAAACTTTGTGCTAGATTTGGCCTCAGCTGGATGCTCAGCCTGTGCTTCAGATAGTGATGAAAACAGGATGTGTAGTTTCAGCACTGCTTTCTTGTGATGGGAATATTTTCAGATTTTTCCACCAAACATCCTGTTCTCACTGTTTAGTTTTCAGTTTTATGGGCATTATTCAGCACTCTTATATAATTGTTGGTTGCTGTGTGTTTGTGATTGGCCTATGCGTGCATTGCTGTTACTTCCATTGTTTGATACTACAAAATACTACACTTAAAGATGTTCCTATAGTGTATCAGATTTGATGTATTTTAGAAGTTGATCCCTCTCCCCTGGGCATTCTGGATACTGTGATCTTGAAAGACCTAAAAAATGAGTTTTAGCAGCTGCATCGGATAAGACTTCCCAAGAACTTTTGAAGAAAAAATTGAATAGTGAAACTGGGATAAAAAGTCTACATGCCCAATATATCAATAGAAACTTTCTTCTCATGCTTGTTGCTCTTGATATTCTTTGGTTGTGTTAATGTAACATGTGTAAGCAGTCAGTTGAAGGGCTATCAGCTCGCTTTTCCAGTAGACCAAACTTTGCTTGTTTGAACCTTGGTTTGTCTGTCTATTGGTTGAGTTAGCATGCTTGCAAACTCAGCCTATTTATTTAGCTTATGGTCCAGTGTCTTGTGCATGTCTAGGAAATGGATGGATTCACCAAACAACGTTGTGTGTGAAACACATCCTTCATTGACAGAACTTGAAAATGAGTTTTTACTGTAACCATGAGTTTTTACAGTTGTTATAGAGTTTTTACAGAGAGCCACAGTGGCACAGTGGTTAGAATGCAGTATTGCAGACTAATTCTGCTTACTGCCAGTGGTTTGATCCTGGCTTGCTCAAGGTTCACTCAAACTTCCATCTTTCTGAGGCTGGTAAAATGAGGACCCAGATTCTTGGTGGCAATATGCTGCCTCTGTAAACCACTTAGAGAGGGCTGTAAAGCACTATGAAGTATATAAGTCTAAGTGCCATTGCTATTGCTTCTTTAATTAATTTGTTCTTATTCTTTTGGAGTTGCTAAATATTGAGGTCATTGCTTGTGTTCTCTTGCTATTACTGCACAATTTGTATTATTCTGATGAGGCGGCATTATAGCTGTAATTTGAACCTTTTGTATTTTCCATTTGCATATTAAAGCACAATTTAAGCTTCTCATGAAATAAATACATATGTGTGTTCTTACTCCTTTGTTAAACACATTAGCCCCTGGGATGAATGACCGACAGTGGAAAAAGCAGGTATGTTGTTCTCCTAGGAGAGTAACATTAAATCAGGGAATATCATGGGAGTCGCAGAAGTGGGAGGTTTGTTAGTACCTCCATGTGTCTCTAGGGATATAGGGAAGTAGTAGTTATTCCAGTTAGTAGACTTTCTTGCCCCAAATTGGTGGTGGTGCATTTGGGAAAATTTCTAAACTGCACACTTGGCCCTCCAGGGGAACTGCAACACCATTGAACATCACTTTGACTATGTGATTGTGAGTACATTGAAGACATTAAGTTTTGGTGAGTGATGGATTGGACTGGATGGCCACTACAAGTGATTCTGACTCCATGTTCTGTGGTTCAGTGATTTGATGTCTGCTATGGCTTTGATATTGTGGTCTATTTGGGTGTGAGTAAAAGAATACAGAGTTAGTTGATGACTTACGACCATTCGTTTGAAGTTACAGTGGCACTTGAAAAAAAGTGATTTCTGACTGTTTATCATCATTACAACCATTGTAGGATCCCCGTGATCACGTGATTAAAAATTTGAATGGTTGGCAACTGGCATGTATTTATGACAGTTGCAGTGTCCTGGGGTCATGTGATCCCCTTTTGCAATCTTCTAGCAAGCAAAGTCAATGAGGAAGCTAGATTCAGTTAACAACCATATTACTAACTTAACAAATGCAGCGATTCACTTAACAGCTATGGCAAGAAAGGTTGTAAAATGGGGCAAAACTCACTTAACAACCATCTTGTTTAGCCAGGGAAATTTTTGGCTCAATTGTAGTAGATACTTTTAAATACTGTTTTTTTTTTAAAAAAATTACACTTATAATAATAATAATAATAAAGTTGGAAGGGACCTTGGAGGTTATCTAGTCCAACCCTCTGCTCAGGCAGGAAACCCTATACCATTTCAGACAAATGGTTGTCCAGTCTCTTCTTAAAAACTTCCAGTGTTGGAGCATTCACCGCTTCTGGAAGCAGGTTGTTATACTGGTTAATTGCGATTGCTTTCTTACAGAAGCCTCATGAAATTAATCTGCAGGCTGCAAGTTACATATCCCTGAAACATGTAAAGGCTGACAACAGATTCAGAGCCAAATTTGTCATGATGGGGCAGCTGCTCACATATTTGCTCTGCTCCCAAGAATTGAATCAGATAGGATCCATGCTTTTGAAATAGGAAACTGCAATAGGGTACTAACCATTTATCAGATACATCACTTTTCTTCTTGTGTTCCTTTTACCTCTGTCATTTGCGCTGAGATGATATATACATGCTTAATACAAGGGATCGTGGAAGAAAAGGAGAGTTAAACATCCCCGTCAGTTCACCTCAGGGTAAAAAAAAAAAAAAAGGCAGATATTCTCCTGCCAATAAGAACGAAGGAAAGAAAATAGATGTAGCTGCCTAATCACACTCTCCATTACATATTCTGCACTGTTCATTGCATTGTATACTACAGGTAGTCTTCGACTCACGACCAGAACTGAGTCCAACTTTTCTGTTGCTAAGGGAAACATATGTTAAGCGAATCTGGCCCCATGTTACGACCTTTCTTGCCGCAATTATTAAGCGGATCACTGCAGTTGTTGAGTTAGTAGCATGGTTGTTAAGTGAATCCGGTTTTCCCATTGAGTTGGCTTGTCAGAAGGTCGCCAAAGGGGATCATGTGACCCGGGATATTTCAACCGTCACAAATATGAACCCATTGCCAAGCATCTGAATTTTGATCACATGGCCATGCGGGACGCTGCAACGGTCGTAAGTGTGAAAAACGGTCCTCAGTCACTTTTTTCAGTGCTGTTGTAACTTTGAATGGTCACTAAACGAACTTCTGTAAGTCAATGACTACCTAATTTTAAAACGGCCCTGTGGTGATGCCCCAAATGCCTCTGTGTTTGAGGAGTAGGAGAGTCGCACAGATTTTCTCCAGAATCTTTCCCAGAGGAGTCCTAAATAGCAAAACCTACTGCAAAATCCAGCCAGCAGTTATTATTGAAGAGGGCAGCGCCATCTGTTGGTTAATTTGATCCAGACACATTTATGGAATAATACATGTCTTGGTCCTTATAATGGCACTCTTAATAAATTTTCCTCCCCTTTGGAAACCATTGTTCAGTTATCGTCTTCTTGTAAGGCATCCATGGTTGTTTACTTCTGCCGACTTACCTGAGCTGTGCCTCAGCTCATCTCTCATATTGTTTGACTAGAGCAAGTGGCATCTGTTCCCATTCAAATGTGTCCACGTTCTGGGTGGGGAGTTATTCCTGGAAGAGTGCAAGGAATTTAACTTCTCAAAAATTTCAGAACAGATCAGTGCCACCACTCCAGACTTTCCTCACCTGATGCCCTCCAGACATGTTTGAACTGAAGTTTCCGAAATTCTTAATCAGGTGATAGATGTTAACGAGACACCTGGGAGCTGGAATCTCAATATATCTGGAAGATGTCGAATTGAGAAAAAAAATTGTCCTGCACCAACACATGGAGTTTATTATGGACCCGCTTTCAATTTTTCGAAAGTTCTGATGTGTTTTATGACCAACACATTTAGAGACACATTGTGTGTGGAAGCATATTTACAAATAGAAATTTGAGTACACACTTCTGTGTGACATTTTAAAAATCAGATTAATGCCATCCCCCAAAAGGTTGATTGTCCCATGTTATTAAAATCTCTTCCCTTCAGAAAGTGCTGTTCAAATGGCATTAGTGAAGATGTTATTGTTGTTGTTAGTTATGAAGTCGTGTCCGACCCATCATGACCTCATGGACAACGTTCCTCCAGGTCTTCCTGTCCTCTACCATCTTCTGGAGTCCATTTAAGTTCACTCCTACTGCTTCAGTGACTCCATCCAGCCATCTCATTCTCTGTCGTCCCCTTCTTCTGTTGCCCTCAATCTTTCCCAGCATTAGGCTCTTCTCCAGTTAGTGAAGATACAAGGACTGTAATCTTTCTTCTTCGAGGCATGATTACTGAGGATGCTGATTTATTACTTCCTTTCTCCCTTTCTTTGTGTCTGCAGGGAAACAGAGGTCGAACAGGAGTTGTTATTGCTGCTTACATGCACTATAGCAATATCTCAGCCAGGTAAGAAAACTACATATTAGGGTGGCTATAAAGAGCTAGAAAAGCAGTGGCTTTAATTCTGATAGGGTAGTGATATTGGAAATCTGCTTATTTAGAAACTTGCCAGGTCCACTTTGATAATAGAATCCCAAACTTTAGGCAAGGCCCGATTTCCCTCCCAGTACACACTCACAAACGCACAACTTTATCAAACACAGTGGTGTCATTACATAGTTCTAGTATGCTGCCCAAAATTCTTACATGGATCAGGAAATTGCATGGAGATTTATCCCCAGCCCCTTTTTGCTGCTAGAAAAAGCATCTCTATTAGTTCATAGGGACATGATGAGTTTTGCTAATCACAAGTCAACAAGCACAAAGTAAAGAGGCCAAGGGATGGATGGGGGAAATGAAAACATGAAATAGGTATTTACACTGTAAAGTTGCTGAACTGGGTTGCAAAGGGCTGGGGTGTATATGGGTTATTCTCAGTATTGGACTGCCAAGAATTCAGTGGTGGGTTTCAGCCAGTTCGCACCCCTTCGGCAGAACCGGTAGCTAATTTTTTGTTGCCCAGGCCCAGAATGGACTTCTGGAAGAGGCATCCACACAGAGAACCAGTTGTTCACATATTTGAATCCCACCACTGTAAGAATTCATTAATGATTGAGGGATGTCACGTTGCATTTCTACAATTAAGTAACCCATCCCCACCCCAGACTAGAAGTTAGAACTTCAAACGGGGCAAGATAATACACTTGCTACAAAAGACAGAGGCAGTGGCTCATGATCTAGATGCAAATGTAAAACAGAATACTTTTCTCAAATCTGTTACCTTCTTGAATACTTTTCTCAAATCTGTTACCTTCCTGATGGGTGGGAATTAGTTAACCCAACTGGAGGGCACTGGGTTGATAAAAGACTGGTACGGAGATGATTAAACTTAAATGGCTGTTTTTAAATGAGCCCAATATGGTTTTAAATTTAATTCAGCAATTTTTTATTTTACTGATGCCATTTTAGTATTTGTGATTGAAAACAAACAATGGTGGACGAGTGGGCCAAAGTACTGCAGAGAGAACTCCCAAGGAAACTCTTATCATTCTGGAAATAAACTTGTACTGCCACTTCTTTTTATTCCCACAGTGCAGATCAGGCTCTGGACCGGTTTGCCATGAAGAGGTTCTATGAGGACAAAGTGATCCCAGCTGGGCAGCCATCTCAGAAGAGGTTAGTCTTCCTCCCCTTCCTCCCCTTCTCCCATTATGGTGCTTTCAGCACATACATGTAGAGATGATCATCAGAGGGTTCCCTGAATCTCTCCATTCATATTAAAATTATACTTTTTGTCTGTGTACAAAGAGTAAGCCTCAGTATTTTTTATTCATTGCTTGTTCAGAACCAAAATGTAACAAATCACACAGTTGTTGAAATTAAGGGGGTAAAGTAAGCTTCAACCACAATCATAATCCAGTTCAGAACTATAGCTCCCAAGACCTACGGGTTTCTGCTGGGTCCTGGGCTACTTCTGCAGTTAGATATGACCCATCTGTTCCTAAAATAAATGTATTTAGCTAATCTAGAATCAACTGTTTTTGCTGGGAGAACTTAATATTTGTAGAGGCTGTAGTTGCAAATGTAGATAATGATGCTCAGAAGACATCTAGTGCTGCAAATGTTTACTGAATTTTCTTTAGCTTCTAATGCATTTCCAGTCAATGTCACTTGGTGGTGCTGAGCTGACAAAAACCTGTGTGTAGCATTTCTGATGACCAAAAGATATCCAAACTTGTAGCCTCTAAAGCTTCTTTGCATGCGTTTCATTTTGAAAGACATAATAAAATTTTGAATATCAGTATCTGACCTTTGAGTAGTATGATGAAGAATTTTTTTTATGGTGGTCTTTTCAGCACTGAAAATATTAGCATTATTATTTATTACACTATGTGTAATTGTTGAAAATCACAACACCACTTTTGCTTTTCTTTCTCATGTTTGCTCTAAAGCCAACAAGAGAGATTGAAAGAAAGAAAAATATGAGAATACATTTTAATTTTTTCACAGCTATAACTTGAAATAATAAAGAAATCCTGATTTGAGAAGGCAATGTCTGTCTGTCTGTCTGTCTGTCTGTCTGTCTCTCTCTCTCTCATCTATCTAATCCATCTAGCTATTTATTCAAATATTTTAAAAACTCCCACGCAGAAGTTTTAGACTTGATGGCATAAATGGCCCCTTCAACTCTAGTGACTCACTGAAATATAAATATTCCAAGAGACTCCAGCTAAATGCCCTGATACTATTTTGGTTTCTACTCTAGATATGTCCATTACTTCAGCGGTCTGCTGTCTGGCACCATCAAAATGAACAACAAGCCCCTCTTCTTGCATCATGTCATCATGCATGGGATACCCAACTTTGAGTCTAAAGGAGGTAACTGACCTTTCCATCACACATTATACATAACATTCAATTATAGGTCTCCACTGGGTGGAAAGATACCATACGGGTCCTTACAACTTTTTTTTTCTTTACTGACTACCTTTATGGCCAGAGTGATTCCAAAGGAACAAGGTTGTAAGCATGCTAAAGTGACAGAATGAACTACACCATTTTCAAGGGTCAGTGGGAGAAAGCTGTTCTTGAATGATCTCCTATGCTACATTTTCTATAGAAATAGAAAGCTAGATAGGGAATGGGATTGTTCCCACTGATGTTCTAGGGTTGTGTTTAAAGAGATTTCTTTTTTTTTTTCTGGGAGCAGCACTCCACATTTGTAGCTGAAAATGGTGAAGCCTCTTCTACTATTTCTGCATTCTGGTTCCCCTTCCTATTCCACAGACTGCCTTCAGTCTTAGTTGCTATAAAGATGGCTTAGCTGTATAAATAAATCCAAAATAAATCCAAAAAGGGATGAGCAAATAGATGTAATCTGTTTTCTTGTTTGTGTTAAAGGACACAGTGATTATAATTTACTCAACCTGAATGCACTCTTATATTCCTAATCTGGATGTTTGAGAAGAGCAAAGAACAGAGCTATCTTGGGTAACATTCACATAATGCATTTATAGAGTGATTCATATCCTAACGATAAGCTTTCAGTAGTCTGACTCTAAAAGGTACATGGTTAGATTCATCAAGATATCTGTCTCTCCATAACTTGATCTTGCTGGTCTGGATGTTGGGCATATAATTCTCAAACCAAAAGCTATCTTAGTTTATTTAATTTTCTGTTTCCTGAGCTTTGGCACTTAACAGAGTGCTAGATCAGATCTGAACCGAGAAAGCATTAGACCAGTGATAGTCAACCTCAGCAACTTGAAGATGTGTGAACTTCAACTCCCAGAATTCACCCAGCCAACTTGTGTCTAAACACTATAGTTAAACTGTGCCTCAAAATATAGTATAAACCTGCTGTTCAACCACACTTTACTGTTTCCTACAACTGCTATCACTGACACAAAATTGGTGTTGTTTGTTACAGGGAGGGTATTGTCACTGGAAGCTTCTCCTCCAGGGAGACTGTTTGCCTTGGCCCCTTCATATTCCCTTCTTTGTAACTAATCTGTAACAAAGGTCTCTTTTTCTCTGTCTGTTTTATGTTTCCTAGGCTGCCGGCCCTTCCTCAAGATATATCAGGCAATGCAACCGGTCTACACATCAGGAATCTAGTAAATGGAGTTGACATTATTATTTTGATTTCCAGCACTCAGATTTCTTCTTGGTTCTGATGCAAAGCAGAGTAGAAATTTCCATGAGCTTTGCAGTAGAGGTGGTATCCTGCAGACCTAGTTCCATGTGTTATTCTGAGTTTTGCTCTAGTATTTATGGCTGGCACAGAGACTCATGCTGTTCCTGGGGACTGCATTTTTTAAATTTGTTATTATTATTATTACAACTACAACAAGCATATAAAGGGCCTCAGGAGACTTCGCAGCTCTATATCAGCTTTCCCCACTCTTCACAGCTTTCAGCTTAATTTTATTTATGCAATTTTGCTTACACTTATATATTGCCTTTCCCCTAAAGAGTTACAGATAGTTACACAGAATTAGCCTTCATTTTATCATTTAAATTTTGAGATAGGTTGGGTTGGAAAAGCATTATTGGCTCACAGTTATCCAGAGAGAGATAACTTCACTGATTAAAGTTTATTTTCCTCTTCTATCTACTTGAATTTAAAACCACTATTTATTAATCAGTTTGATGTATACATGCAATCAATCTCCATCAAACCTTTATTGAAGAAAAATATGAATAGGGAATCATCTTTATTGCTTTCCTTTCCATTCAAATCAGCAAATGTATCATTAAATCATAATGCCATCAATCACAGTTTACTTTGGCTGATATTGACCAACTAAAATGGAATTTATTCAATGAATTTGCTCAGTGAAGCTCTGGTACAATGAAAGAGCAGCAAGATACTGAATGAAATGAAGATTATGGCAAACTTTTGTCCACATGTATGCAAGAAAATTCTTGCTTTTGAGGTATTTGTGTGCATAACAGAAAACTTAGAAGTGGAAATGCTGACCAGTTCCAGATATACAGTACCAGCTGTTCACAGTATATTCTGGAGCAGACTGCATGAAGAGTAGATACAATAAAATTTGATAAGGTCATTCCTGGAAAGTCATATTTTTGTGGAACATTACCCCATTGCCCACAGGTAACTACTGTATCCGTTTCTAATGCTGACCACAGCAGATCTAAGCAGTGTTTCAGGATCAGTAAAAATGATTTAGCAAATGTAGCACAACAAAAATAGAAACACTAAAATAGCAGAGTGGCTCCTTCATTTAAGAAAAAAAATTCTCAAGAAGTTCAAGGAGTTATGTATAGCAGTTATTTCTCCCATATGTTCTCTCAAACAGCCTCATGAGGTAAATTGGGCTGAGGGAGAGTGATGGACCGATGAATTGAAACCTGGGTTCTGACATTTTATGACATCATCTTGATTGTTGCCTGGACATGGCAGATGCAAGGAATCTTAGCCACTGAGTTGCTTTGATTGTCTTCCACATTTTGCTTCTTTCTACTTCTTTATAGCAATGTGCAGGGAGATAGCCAGACGAGCATCTGTATCACCATAGAACCAGGACTCCTCTTAAAGGGAGATATTTTGGTAAGAGTCAAAACATGTATGCTTTCATTTTTATCACTGTGGGTCTTTAGATCATAAAAGCTGGCACCCCATTTAAAGACTCCAGAATTGGAGGCCTAAGAGTGTCATAGTCTACAGTCTGCATTCCATTTACTTAAGAAAAGTTCACTGTCTTTGTGAGGAAATGCAGAAAAATGATGTCTTTGCAGCACAAAAGGGGCTCAAGTATAGAATTCCTGCAAGTGGCTAGACTCATTCCTATTCTCAGGTAGACTCCCAGGGTGATGGCATGTTTCATTTTGTTTCCCTTATGCCTTCTTTCACTGGCAGCTGAAATGCTATCACAAGGAATTCCGTAGCCCGACTCGGGATGTCATCTTTCGAGTGCAGTTCCATACATGTGCCATTCATGATTTGGCTATTGTCTTCAATAAAGAGGACCTGGATGATGCCTTTAAAGGTAAAGACAGTTTTGTTCAAGAAAAGAGAGTGAGTGAATGGGTGAGTCGGTGAAACAAAGTAATAAAATGCATGACACTTTTTATTGGGACCATTGTAATCAAGTTGTGGCTTTTCTAGAATAGTTTACTTTATGGCACCAGGATGTGCTTCAGAGGAAAAATCAGTATTTTTAGTATATCTTCAGTTTAGAAAGCATTTCACTTTATTTAGCAAGCACTTGTGAGAAGTTCAGATACAAATTTATATATACTGCAGTTGTAACCATTACATGGCATTCCATTGTTTTATATTGTCATCCCCAGATACTCTATGTAGTTTTTAATTATGTTAATTTAGATCATATCCGAAACATACCAAAGTTGGTATTGAGGCCTATAATTCCCCCCCCCCTTTATTTTTCCATCTCTATCTTCTTTTTGTTTGCCGAATGAGACTTCAGTTGGTAATTTTTATATTGTATGTATCTATCTAGAAGTCTGCAAAAACAGTCTAGGAGGTTTTTAATTTTTTTTCCTCAAGTTTTTTTATGGAGCACTGAAATATCAGACAGCACATCTTACTCTAATTGTTCTGCCAGTAGTGGACAAAAATCAGTGCTTGAGGAAATAATGTCTGTATGGCTGTCAGCCATTCCAGGAGCAATGCTATCCAAAAGAAAATTCTTGACTCCACTTGAAAGGGGGGGGAGCGAGAGAGGGCTTCTATGCCTTGTTGCAATCTGCATGCTTGAAGAGGATAAGAGCCCCAGGGGGTTGTCTTCTCTCAGAAACAGAGAAAGGACAGAGACCAGGTGCAAAAAAAAAAAAAAAAACCCTTTTAGAATTGGAATTGGTTGGCTCCACCGATGCTGACTGAGGATGAGCCATCTTGTAATGGAACATAGAGGCGGACAAAATACTGAAGTTCTGAAATCCTCGCTGAAGGAATAGCCAAAGAGAAGGCTATAATTCTTTTTGGTATGAGAACCTAAAGTCAATTTTCCTGTCAGGAAATGGAGAATTTTCTGTTCGCATTCTGCAATATCTCTTACGAAGTGCAACAAGTGCTGCAGGCAGGGCCATTACCATAATATTATTATCTGCCCGAGTATAGCTATAAATTGACATTTATAAATGTGAACTAGAACAGTTGTCTTGCTTCATGCATCAAAACAAATGTGTGGTGGTTTGAAAGTTTGGACAGGCTGGTTCGGGCAAGTCATGATCCAGCCCAATGGAAACTTGGAACATTTTGAATGTATCTACTGAATACCATTTTGTCTTTTCTCTCTCTTTTTTTTTTTAAAAAAAAAATCAGATGAGCGGTTTCCTGAGTATGGGAAGGTGGAATTTGTATTCTCCTATGGTCCTGAGAAGATTCAAGGTATTATTTTTTTGTAATAGTGATTTGCTTTCTTCCTTTTATCCCTCTCCATTTATAGGCCTCAGAGATTGTACATTTGTTTTGTTAAACTTGCTGCCAGGATAGGTAGCCTTATTTTTCTTCTCAATCAGTACTGAAAGATTCAAAAACCAGAACAGAGTCAATATTAGCAGATAATTGCTGAGTTACCAGGGGCCGCTAGTCCTCACAAACAGATGGCCATTTCCCTTTGCCCGGTGAACTAATACTCCATTCATTACATTCCTGAATAACCACTGTTCTTAAAGTAAACAAAGAGGCCCCTTTGTGTGTAATTGTTCACTGATCTATATACTTCCTTACTCCTTGGGCAAGTTCTTTGGCTATTGTCTTGATTCTAGATATGGTTCCTCCTTGCTTCTATAGCTTAACTGGGCAATCTGACTTCATGATCTTGACTTTCTTATTCTGAGATGTATCTATGATAGATTAGACCTGCTACCCTTTTATCTTATTTCTTCTGATTTTTCTTCTTTCCTCTATCACGTTACTACTTTTTTCCTCACTGCCCCCACACCAAAAGCTCTCTTCCTAAAATTACTCTATCCTTGCTTCTCAGGCATGGAACATTTAGAGAATGGCCCAAGTGTCTCTGTGGATTACAACACTTCAGATCCACTCATCCGCAGAGATTCCTATGAAAACTTCAATATACGTCGTGAAGACAGCATGGATGGTAGGTGATGCAGACTGCCATCGTATGTAACTCAGCTTTCAAGGACAAAAACCTTGATGCACCATCTAAATAGATACCAACTCCATGCAAGCAAGCAAGCAAGCATTTTTTTTTTTGCCTTTGCCTATGTTGTATATGATAACAGACGTTCTGTGTCTTCTCAGTTGCAATTGCACACACCAATTTATGTTTGTTTGTTTTTGCCATCTGTACTTGATAAGAAGAGAGCTGCTTCCTCTGGATTACACAGAAAAACTGCAGCAAAACATGAAACACATTTTCTAGTCATAGCACAGTTCAGTCAGTTTTTTAAACATGGGTTTATAACATATAGGGTAGAATTACGAGGGCCCTCTTCGCTTTTTCCTAAATAATATTCAAAAAAGAGGCCCAAAAGGCATTTTTAAGAACTCTTTGTAAAAATTCTCTTAGCAGACAAAAATCAATTGGACAGAAATATGGAGGCAAATGCTAATATCCACAGCCCATGCAAACATACTTTGTGGGAGAGCTCATTGCTCTGAGCTCTGTATCTAGAAGAATCCTTTTCGATTTATTTCATTTACTCTTTGCTTCTTCTGTAAAAGAGTCCAATGCACTAGTGTCCCCAACATGGTTTGTATTGCTAAAGGTCAATATTAACAGAGCCCAGTAAGCAAAACTCAACAGCGGCATTTCATTTGCCTTGATTTTTTTTTTTTTCACTTGCTAAGTCATGATTGCTGCTGCCGCTGCCCTCATCTACAGTAGAGGCTCCATCCAGGGCAGCAGGTCTGGGAGCCAGTGCAGGAAAAGGAATGGTGGGAACAGATGTATTTTCTGGACAGCATGAAGGTCATAGGCTTCTGCCTGAGGAACAGATGGCATGAGTCAAATGTTTGTAGAGTGCCAGAGTGATGAGTACTATAGAATAAGTCACAGAAAATAAAGCCAAGATGTCTAGTGAAGTCTGTCACCTGAGTTCTCTGAATGGAGCAATGGATGCTGAAAAAAACAAGATTCCTCGTGTTCCTATGAGGCAGAGAAACTGAATGTCTGTCCTCAGGCTGAATGGAATTTAATGACATTGTTTCACACACACACACACACACACACACACACACACACACACACACACACACACACACACACACCACCCTGCCCAGTCTTCTTAAGCAGGATTTAAGAAAGCTGGCATGGGATAATTTCTGGATTCCAGTCAGATAATAGCAGAAAATGGGAATTGCAGGCTTGGCTATGTAATGGATATTCATTATGAGATGTTGCTGCAAAAGCAGATTTCCATTTTATCTACTTTTTTCAAACAAGATTTCAGTGTTTTCACTTGGATAGGTGTGAATGCCTGCTAAAACCAAGGGAAGATTTCACTGAAAGGTGTTTTTTTTTGTTTAAAAAAATAATGAAATGTCCTGATGTCTGAGTAAGCATCAAAGTCACTGCAGGGTAAGAAAACTTACCCCATCCCCCCAGTGATCTTTGGCACTAAGAAGATTTAGCCTCTGCTCAATTCACCCAGAGAAAATCTCATTAGTTGTTTCCTTCAGGAATAAGAAATTGTATTATTATGGTCGGTCACACAGTTAGCCAGATGTTTAGATTGGATTTGGCATTTTTATCCAAGTCGTTCCCAAGGACCTGGGATAGGCAGATGTTGTTTGATGGTGTTAAAGGTATCATCGCAGGATGATAAGTTGTTCCAAGTAAAGCTGCTTTTTTTGCAGTTGACTGATGGTGATTGTGTGAATGCCTATGGTGTTCAAGTGGCACTCCAAACTTTTTGGAATTACATCCAAGGCACTTGTTACTACTGGTACTATCATTGCTTTCCTTTGCCACAATTTACTCCTGTTTCTAGGTCTTTGTATTTTGTGATTTTCTCCAGTTCTTTCTCTTCTCTTCTGCTGTCTGCAATATTTCACTGTCCATTATCCAGACTACTTTGTCTTTCTTATTTACAATTGTTAGCTTTGGGGTGCTTTGTGGCAGATGCTTGTCTGTTTGAATTCTACAGTAGTTGTCTGGTGCTGCCTTTTTTGTTGAACCTTTCATTATCAGATAGGTTTTTCCAGATGTTAACTGGGAAAATTTCACCTCCTTGCAGAATGTTGTTAAACTGTTTGGGAATGAATGGGTGTAGACCAGTCAGATGTTTCAACCCAAAATCATCTGGTGTTGACTAATTCTTAATCCTCCTTGCCCTTTTTTCCCACCCTTTCTGCTGTTATTACAATTTTTTTCATTTCAATTTTCCCTCTTTCTCGTCCTCTTTTATCCAAGCTGCATCCTTTGTATTTCTTTGGCATGACCCATGGCTGTGTTCAGAATTGCACTGTTTCTTGTTTGTCAGGTGTTGACTGACTTCCTGCAGTCTCTCCATTGCTGGATTGGTAGAAACTTTAGCTGAAATTGGGAGATTCTATCTTGGTGTGCAATTTTTACCTGCTGTTTTTCTTTGCTGCAGCAGTTATTTGCTGCTTTATTGTTTTCATTCTTCCCTGAACCTCCTTGTTTCTAGGTTATATTTCTTGATCAAATGTTCTTTTGTCTTTTTGTTCTTCAGTTTCTTTTGTCTGTTCTAGCTTACTTACATCTGATCTTAAAATGCTGATCTTATTTTCCAGCCTGATCTTTCATTTTGGTGGGACACTGTTTGGCTTTTGTTATTTGTTTATTTCACTGTTGATTTTGCATCCAAGATCTTCAGTTATAATTGCAGATGACTGTGCATCAGCTGGTTTATATTTTGCAATAATCTAATGCTTATCTTTGATTGTACAGTATTGGCATCTTTTAATACTTGTGCTAGCTGGTTTTTTTTGTAATGAGCTTCAGTGAGCTTATTCTGTTGTTTTTATACTGTTCTGGATGCTCAGTTATTCTTCATTTCAATAGAAAACTTTTCTAAGGAGAAAGCAGAGGAGAGGGTGCCTTGTTTGGGAATGCGAATAACTCAATAGCAATGTTGACTTCCTCTATTGCGGACTACTCCTTGTTTGTCTGTACTTTCTATTTCTATTCTTTTGCCCTGGGTAGATCTTTGCAATTCTTCCAATTCTACTTCTGTGAATACTTTATTTTGTATAATAGACCAATGCTGAACTGCTAGCCTTGTTATGTTACTTTTGAATCTTATGTTTTTTCTAGAACTGGTGCATTCATTTCAGGTATCATCTTTACATTGAACTTGACTGGTAATTGCAAATCATTGTTTCTTTGTTTTCAATCTATGAATGAGCAACTTTTCTTCTAGTAGTCGTGGAGCTGCTGTCCTTGTTGCTCAGCCAACAGTCCTGAATTTTGTAGCCCGTTTGTCACCAGATGTCTAGGAACTCCAGTACCTAGTATGATCCTTGTTTACTCGAGTGATGACTGATCTGGGATAGGTTTCTATAAGTTATGTCTCACCATATTGTTTATGGGAGAGACATTTTTCATCTAGCTCCTCTGATTAGACATGTCAATTGAACCTCTGCCATAGCTCTCATCTTCGGAGCAGGCAAGCCCCACAATCATGTCAAGTAGGGCCTCACTGGGGGATGATGGTGTTGATGATGATAATTTTAATAGCTAAGGCAGCCAGTACCAATTGGATACTGGTCTAGAAAAACAGGAATGACACTAAATCTCTGTAGCTATATGAAGGTGTGCCATTACCTAAAATGACTAGAAGAGAAATCAATTTTAGCATCTCTGTTGGCAAACAACAATCCACTCAAAGAAAACCAGAATATTTGAAAAGCAATCAAAATAAAGCACTTTGAATAAAAGCACTTTGATTGTTACAATAAATTAGTATTAATAAACACAATAATGAAAGATTTAATAGTGGTATTGAGTACTGTGAATGATACCATAATAACTCATTAACTGAAATGAAGAAATGAAAAACTAAGTGGCTAATATTGTCCTATTTAATTCAGGATGCATATTATCTCAGTTTATATTTTCTGTGTACTTTGAAATGAGAGTTGATTGCCCTTCCATTTGAATCTCAGAGATGATTTTCCTGGCAACTTGAGATACATATTATTTACACACAGATGTACATATACACACCTGTTCTTTCAGGGAAGGTAATTAATCCCTTGCCTGTAGCTTACCTTACTTTTCACTTCTACATACATAAATATATACATTCTTATTATCCTGTCCCTTTATGAGATATGCAGATTGTAGAAAAGAAGTAAGAAATACTATGCCAAAGAAATTAATGGCCCGAGATAGGAAATTTCATTTTTTAACCTATCATTATCATTCCAATATAAATCTCTAAGATACGCCTTTCAGCCTTCCCTCATTTGTTTAATCTCAAATCATTTAATCACTGCAATTTTAAATTCCATACAGTCTACTAAATGCTTCTTGTTTAGCTCTCTTCATTTTCAAAAACCATTTTTTAAATTTCCATCAAGATCACTGATTTTTCTCTTTTAATGTTAAATATTTGCTCTCGTTTTCACTACATGCCTTGCAGCTTTTTTTCTCTATACCATACAATATTCTTTCATTCTCATGTAAAGTTGCAATTGCCTACAAATTAAATGAAAAAGAGGAAATTATTTTTTTTCATATGGGACTTTTTTCCTTCCTTCCTTCCTTCCTTCCTTCCTTCCTTCCTTCCTTCCTTCCTTCCTTCCTTCCTTCCTTCCTTCCTTCCCTCCCTCCCTCCCTCCCTCCCTCCCTCCCTCCCTCCCTCCCTCCCTCAAACTGCAATTGACCTTATTCATTCTGGGATCCCTAAATCATTTTTTCTGTATTTTCTAATCTCATTGCCCTATCATCTCATTCATGATGCCCAGCAGAAAATCAGAGAACTTTCCTAAAACATATTTCTGGTTCTTAAAGTATCAGCATTTATGGGAATGTAACATGCCACTGTTTCCATCCTATTCAGTCCCATTGTCATATGCCCCCCACAATAAAGTTGATAACGTTACTTCATAATTTATATCATACAGTTTAGCTTTTTCATTGAGAATTGGAACTATACCTTCCCCTGCATGAATTCATCACCTCTACTCCACAGAATCAGCCCAAAATAATATTCCTTCTTCTCAAATTCTCAGGAATGACTTATTATCCTTCTGTCTTCATACTGTGGAAAAAGAGCACTGTTACATTCAAATTTCTTTATCCTTGTTTTTTCATCAAATTAAGAACAGTATTTAAGAGGATTGACAGCGCTTGTTTCTAAATGGCTATTTAAAAACAGTATGTCCAAGCAGTGTATTTGGACCCAGTTAAGCTTTGGAAAGAACAAAACGGAATTCTTTAGGGACAATATTTAGCTGAAGATTTCCACAGATTTTTATAAAAGGCTTTCAGCCCTTTGGAAAATCACATTCCATTTTCAAAAAACATTGCCTTCAATTTATGGGCATACTTTATGTAGAAATATTCAGACATGGGGAAGCAGCAAACTTTGTTTTATTTGTTAGTGCTGAATAGCCCCTATAATTTTGCCCCATATAGAAGTTATTCTATTCCTTGTAAGGTCCCAAAATTTCTCATACAAAGCATTTGATCCTATATGCAAAGAAGCATTAATAATAATGGATGGGTTGTGAAAATTCCTATGAGTCTGGGCTTAACCTTAGATATTTATGACGTCATAAGTTTCAGGAGACAGTATGGATTTTCATTTGTTATTTCGGAACTTTTCATTAATGATTGTTATCTTTATGTGACAGTTAAATAAAAAGCATTTCGGATGAACTGAGCCAAAAGTCTATTCAAAGGACTGTGGTTCATTTTCCTCTTTTGTTTGGTAGTGACACTGGAAACTTTCTACTTAATTTTTTTTTAAAAAAGATATGAGCAAAAGTAGTAAGGATTTTGATTTGTTTTTAGTTTTTCTGGATAGTGAAGTTAACTCCATTTCCTTCATTGGATGCTATTGTATATATCTTTTGTAAAAACCAAAGAATTGCATCATAACATTTGAAAATGTTCCATATTGGAAATGATATTTATGTGCTTTGATTAGTTTGGAATGGGTGAATTTCTATGGAAATGCAAGCCACACCAGTCTCTATCCAAAGCAAATAACCTGAAGCTTCTTGTGCTTCAGATATTATGTAATGTCTGAAATGTCTGCAACATTTCTCAGTGTGGCAAGGAGCCCTGCCTTTTAGTGAATGTCTCTCTCTCTCTCTCTCTCTCTCTCTCTCTCTCTCTCTCTCTCTCTCTCTCTCTCTCTATGTATATTCTATTTTGCAGAAGCTATTTGAAAATGGAGAAACACGGTCAGGCCAGGGGACTAAAAGTGAAGGTTGATTATTTATTTATGGGTTTTTTTTTTTGCCTTATTAGATTAGATAATTAAATATGATCCATCTGGTCCCTCAGGAATCAGAATGAGTGTGGCTGTTGGTTGTGAAATAGCTCTGAAGAAGTCAGAGTAAAAATGGACAAGTGGGACCTTTGTCCGCAAAATATGTTCATATGAAAGACACAAAGAGTGTGGCTTTCATAAAAGAGGAATGGCAAGGCTTTGGGCCACGGTGGTTTAATTCTCAAAGTACAGTATTTATCCAGACCTTGTACTTTAAGGAAAGCTGAAATGGGATAGATGTAAAAGTATATATTTAATTTCCTGCTGCAGACTGGAAGGTCAGGAGCCCATAAAGCTAATTTGTCTGTGAAATGTGAATTGGTAGGATTTTCCTTAACGAAGCGAGAAGATTTGGAAAAAGAACAAAGGGATGAACTTTGATGGAGGTTGATTATCAGAGACTGAATTACCTATTTCTGTTGCAGTGCAAATAATGACATTATCTATAACCAGAAATTGCTGTCTGGCTGTAAGCTACTTTCTTTCAGACTGGAAAATGTCAGCTTGCAGGTGGTAAATTAGAAATGCTAGCAAAAACACCCCCCCTTTTTTTTCTGGGCTCAGAATGGATTTGCAGGGTCTTAAATGAACTTTTCCCAGCCTGGGACCCACCAGGTGTGTTAGTTTATAACTACTGTCATTTCAGTGAATGAGATGATTGGGGATAATGGATTGTTATGCAACAGATGGAGGTGCCAGATGAAAATACTGTCTTAAAGATAATATATCCAAGTTTTCCTGTGATGACTGTACCTGAGCCATTTTTTCATGCAAGATGTGGTCATGCGGTTAGAATGGGTTTTCACTCTCCTGGTATATTTCAAAACTTCTCAGGAGAATTCCCCAGAAATGATTTGAATGCATTAGAATTCATTGTGCCAGAAGCTCTGAAAGGTAGTTAGAGCCCAAGTTTTGTCCTTTATTATAAATGACAATGGAATTCTTCCTCCCCATCAAACATATTACCACAAAAGACCTGGTGCTAATTAAAATTACCGTGGCCTTAGTATATAGAGTCTACTCACCATGGCCTTTTGGCCATGGCCAACCCCCCACTGCCAACTTGCCACGGTCAATTTACCCTTCGACAACTCACCACGGCCAACTCGCCATGGGACGGACAACTTGCTGCAGGACAAGAGTTGCACTAATATTGAAGAAAGAGTGAATAAAATCATTAAAGAGAGGATGCAAAAGGAGGGATAAAATGAAATGTGAAATGACAAAAATCAAAATATTTTTTAATTATTTTAAATAATTAAATTGAATAGTTGAATTGCTCTATGGCGAGTTGTCCCATGGCAAGTTGGCCACAGCGAGTTGGCCATGGCTAAATGGCCATGGCAAGTAGGCAGTAGAGTTGGCCACTGCGAGTTGGCCACTGTGAGTTGTCCCATTCCGTTTAATAGAAAGGGCTCTTGTTCACAAAAGCTTAGGATCTGGATAGTTTTCCACAGGACTTTTTAATTTTCCAATTGTAACAAAAAAAAAAAAAAAGCAATTGAGCCAGTTAATATGGGGAACCAGTCCAGTAGTAGCTTGAGGATATCTACAAAAAGGAAGCAAATTTATAACTGTTAGCCTGATTTATCAAGCAGCATTTGGGTTTCCCCCCCAATTTATTATAACCTGACTTGAAATCTGGCCCTTGGGTGAGTAAATTGAGAAAGAAGCAATGGGAGTGGAGGAACAGTGAGTTCCAATCCAAACCTCCCCCTCCACATTTCAAGAAGAATGCAAAGCCTTTTTGCAGATACAACTCCTTGGACAAGTTGCATGCTTGCTCCTCTGAAACACTGGATTAGCAACTTGAAGAATGTATCTTTGCCTCAGTCGTGACAGGCTGCTAGAAGCAATCACTCCTATTGCACTCTAATTATCAAGTAGTGTCATGCCAACAGGCATGCTTGCCAGGAGAACTTGCTGCGAGGCAGACAACAGCACAATTTCTTCTGTCTGTATGCTTTGAACGGGGTTTTGTTGGGGGGGGGAAAGGGGGTTTCACTAGGATCATGGACAAAAATGAGGTGGGAAGACAACCGTAAATCCATTTGTTCATGCTGACAAAACAAAAAAACCAGCACTTGTCATCCTGTATTTATGCCCAGCTGCCAGTTATGTGCAAATGGCTGATAATATTTGTATCACTGAACATTCGCATGAAACATTACCTTGAATTTTAGTATTTTCTTGTTCTAGGGAGGTACTGTAGTTCAATTAAAGATGCCTCCTTTTTCGCTGATTTAATTCCCATGAACAATGCTGGCTGTGGAATTCTGGGAGTTGAAGTCCACATGCCTTAAAATTGTCAAGGCTGAGAAACACTGGTTTATAGAGTGATGGAGGAAAATTGAGGAGTTGCTGATTCAGATCTTCAGTCAGCCATGAAATTTACCAGGTGACCTTGGAAGAGTCATTATATCTCAATTTAACTGGCTTCCTCGGATTAAAAATAATGGAGGAGGAGGGGGTTATTCATGCGAGCTTGAGCTGCCGTTGGAAAAAAAAAGGAAGATATGCATTGACTTATGTACTTACATCCATTGTATATCCAATGTGATAGGCACTAAGCAACATGTTTAAATGTAGTCCTTGACTTAGGACCACAAAATTGGGACTGGAACTTCCATTGCTAAATGAAGTGCCTGTTAAGTGAGTCATGCCCAATTTTATGACCTCTTTTTGCCACGGTTGTTAAATGAATCATCCTGATTGTTAAGCAAATCTGGCTTCTTCCCTTGACTTTACTTGTTGGAAGCCAGCTGGGAAGGTCTCAAGTGTGACCCCAGGACACTGCAGCGGTCGTAAATACATTCCTATTAGCAAAGGGCCCAAATTTTGAACATGGGGCCACAGGTTTGGTGTGACAGTTGTAAGCACAAGGACCAGTTTTTCGGTGCTGTCGTAACTTTGAACGGTCACTAAACAAATGGCTGTAAGTCAAGGACTATCTCTATTTAGTTTTTCATTAAACTGTAAACTGAATGCACAGATCCATCCTCTGGTTTCTTGCTTGACATTTATGGAAACAGCTTTAGCTCTTTTTGCTTACAAGGTAGATCTTATGGTTTGTTTCAAGTACTTTTTTTGGAGATGGATCTCAGAAATTTGCATAATGTGAACATAATCTATATTGCTATTACGTCTTATTCTATGTGAACTGTACCAGGTAGTTTCCTTTATGATGCATGATGGATTCCTCACCATTATGTACATAAAGGGGTCAAGGTAGAGTAACCAAGACCACTTCCTTTGGGACTGTGCATGCTAATTACCCACAGTATGGCTTCTAGTTTTGAGACGTTCTGCCCCTTTTGATAGCTATAGACGATGTTTGTTCTTGCCTGTTGTTCATATCTTTCTTACTCTTGCTTTTACCTGTTAAATGTTTTTGATGTTTAGTAAATACATGTGCTGATGTTTAGCAAATAAATATCAAGCTATATGTTTACTAGCTGTGCTAAGTGGCATATATGCTTGCTCTGAATGTGATATAAGGATTGACTGGGAATGTGCTGGAAACTAAACTGAAAATTATCTACAGTAATTTTCCAATATTTTCAAGGCCTCAGAGACATACAGTAAAGCTTGGTATTTTTACCTGTAACATAACCAGTCAAAAATTTAGAATTGCCTGAGGCACATGAAATTCAATGTAAAAAGCTGTTAACCCAGGAATACCTTATATGTTCTATTGTCATGTGAAGATTGTGCTGTGCATTCTCAGATAATCTCTCACACATATTAAGAAACAATGCTGT